TCGTTTTTGCTTTCATGGCTGCCCATACAACGGTTGCGGCGGCTTTTTCACCAAACGTTGAATCACTCGCTGTTATACGTTCGCGTGCTCTGTCGGCGAGAACTCGATCGGCAATGTGACGATCGGTGAGATGGTTACTTCGCGAATAGGCGATATCATGTTCGCGACACGCCGCGTCTAATCGATTTATACCTCGATCACCACGCGCTAGTCTTTTCACGAGACGAGTACCGGGTCCACAAAATTGATAACCAGGTATATGTACTTCAAACGGAAGCGCGTTTATTGTCTTGTTGAGTAAACCCGCACCAGAAATCATTCCTCTCTACACTTATGTCATACGACGGTGACATACGTCGCAATCTTTGATAAGTGGTGGTGGACCGTCTATGTGTGTTCGTTGCCACGGACGATTGTAATGCTCTAAACATGGACGACAGCGTTGCACTTCAGGATCCGTTTTTAAATGGTTGGGTAATCGATCCCACAGTATCTCCACATAATTCTCAAACTCCTGTAAAAGAAGAATCTTCGGTATGTACTGCAATTGCTCGGCGGTAAAATCGAGAATCTCACGCTTATTCGTCAGTAAGAAAAACATTTTTGTGATAACAACAACGATCCGCTTTTACAGTAAACTGTGTGAATCGAGCGCTTGCTCGGGGATATAAATAGTGTTGAAAAACTCGCTCGCGCTACATTGCGCACGCGCGTTACATGAGTAAATGCGATTCGTACGACAATCACGAACGATAGGAGTGTCGAATCTCGACCGCAAGACGCGACTCATGTCCGATGGAGAATTCGTAGACACGGCCCTCTACTACCGAATACAATTCGTTGCATCATCTGTGGACCGTCCAACTGTGGGAAAACGAACGCTTTGATAAGTTTGATAGAAAGTCCACACGGTATACGTTTTGAAAACGTGTACGTGTATTCGAAATCTCTCTTTCAATCGAAATATCAATATTTGGAAGAATTGCTCGAATCGATAAATGGTATCGGTTACTACGCATTTTCCAACAAACGTGACGTCATACCACCGAAGGAGGCACTTCCCAATTCAATATTTGTATTCGATGATGTGGCCTGTGATAATCAGAATACTATTAGAGAATATTTTTCTATGGGTCGACATACAAACATCGATTGTTTTTATCTCTGTCAGACGTATGCAAAAATACCGAAACATCTGATACGTGATAATGCAAATTTTTTAATACTATTCAAACAGGATGGTACCAATTTGAAACACATTTATAACGATCACGTAAACACTGATATATCGTATGAGAATTTTTGCACGTTGTGCCATTTATGTTGGCAACGCAAATACGGTTTTGTGGTAATAGACAAAGATAGCGCATTACGCAACGGTAGATACAGACGAGGATTCAACGATTTCGCAGTAGTGTGAAAAAAATCATCTGTAGTGTATTTTGTGAAAAAGAACTCGTGAGCAGTACTTCTTTACCGTTACGATAACATGGTTGGAACGAAAAGTCTCTCCGAACGGGAGAGACCGGCGAAATTGATCGCGAAGACACGCGCGTCCATTCGTAAGAAACACAGAGCATTGAAGACTGGTATAATGGAGAAGGAGATCGTTCTGGAGAAACAATTAAAACCTATTATCGAACCGTTGAAACAAATCGTTGGAAACACTGCACGTGAAGGTAAA